ACTACACACACACACACACACACACACACACACACACACACACACACACACACACACACATGCACACCTCTTGCATGTGTGCGTTGAGATGACAGTTGACGAAGGAGATGCGAGCACCGTTGATGTTGAGGTTGATGGCAACCCCACCCTTGTTCCCAGATGCACTGTAAGTATGATGGTGGAAAGGGAGTTGTGCAAAGGGGAGATGCATGAGGGCAGAGCACGCGAAGGGCATCTTGGTTGCGGAGGCCGAAAGACAAGAAACGAAGTTGACAGACAGACAGCCAGACAGGCAGGTAGACAGACAGACAGGCAGGCAGGTAGACACACACACACACACACACACACACACACACACACACAGACTCAGACCCAGACCCAGACCCAGGCACAGACCCCCCCCCCCCAACACACACACACCCGTTGAGGCGTCCGCAGGTCTGGAAGAGAACTTCGTGTTCAATCTGGAACTCCTTCGTGCGCAGCCGCTTGGACACATACACAGCAAGACGGATGCCCGATGACTTTGCTTCGCCCTTCACCACCGCATCTTACAAAAAAGGGTGGCACGATGTGATGGAATGCGGAGCGGATGTGAACGTGAGCTGGGCAACACAGCTGTGGATGACAGACACGTGATGTCAAGATCAGTGTGGACGAAACAAAGGCTCATGCAGGATGTGCCGACCTTTGAAGCTGGTTTCTGTCTTGTATGTCTTGTCAGTTCGCGGGGACAGGGTCTGGTAAGCAAGGCACTCGTACTCCTGAAACGCGCCAGCAAGATGAACGAGATGGCGGTTGCAGGAAGGAGGAGGGGGGAGGGAGGAAGCGGGTTGAATTGAGAGCGAGCCAGCCGTCAAGGCAGGCACCACACATTACGGAGAACGTCAATGCGCTCCGATACACAAGCGCACGCGCACACGCACCTCGCCAAAGCAGTCGTCAAGCCGCTGTTGCCAGTGATACTCTGCTTTCACGTCATCGTGCTTCTCTCCTTCATGCCCCTTTGGCGTGTAGCAGCTCTCTGCGTCATGATTCGGGTGATGTGGCAGGCATTTGGAGGGGGGGGGGGTTTGTGTGAAGGTCGGTTTGAAGAGGAACAGGGAAATGGAGAGACTGGCGCAGGCAGGCAGGCAGCCACACATTACAGAGAATGCGCTCCGATACACAAGCGCACGCGCACACACACACACACACACACACACACACACACACACACACACACACACACACACACACACACACACACACACATTACTTTACTTGACATCGCATTTAATGTCACATCACAACAAACATGGGTGTGTATTCCTGCTTCTTCTTCCTCACCTTGTACGCCGATGACATACATGTCAAAGTGGCCCTTGGGGATCCAATCCAGCGGCTCTGGCGCCTCATTGCCTGAGAAAGGGAGGATGAAAACAGACGGAGACGGAGATCGAGAATTAGACAAACAGAGTGACATAGAGACAGGCATGCAGGCAGGCACACAGACACACAGACACACAGACACAGACACAGACACACAGACACACAGACACACAGACACACAGACACACAGACACACAGACACATAGACACACAGACACACAGACACACAGACACACAGACACACAGACACACAGACACACAGACACACAGACACACAGACACACAGACACACAGACACACAGACACACAGACACACACACACACACACACAGACACACACACACACACGTACCCAGGTTCCAGGTGCAGATGAAGCAGGAGAGCTTTTCTCTCTTGATCTCCGGCACAGAGGCGTGTGCGCCCATACTGTTCGCTGTTGCGCTTCACGTTGTCACTTCTTGCCTGCCACCTCTGCGTCGTCTGCCTCGAGCGAGAAGTGCACAACCAACAGCAACAATCAACGGTTGTGCTCGATGTTGTCCTTGAAGATTGGAATGCACCACAAGAAAGAAGAAGGAAATCGCCCACAGTCAAAAACCAAAACAAACGAAAGGACAGTGGCAGTCCTCCACCACCACAGCCATTGTTTCTCTCTTCGTGCTCGAGCTTCTGTTCTGGCCCGTCCAGTCGCAATGACGTGCGCATGTGCATGTGTGTGTGTGCATGTGTGTGTGTGTGTGTGTGTGTGTGTGTGTGTGTGTGTGTGTGTGTGTGGAGTTGACAACGACCCATCTGATTATCATCACCGGTTTAAGGAAACGCATACGCAAGCAACGGCACACACATACACACACACACACATATACACACACGCACACACACACACACTCACACACACACACACACACACACACAGATGGTAGGTGAG